AGGACAATGATTCATTATCAATTTAGATACATCACAATAAAATAAAAGTAACTACTAATAATATCAACTTGTAAAACAAATTGAACTAAATTATAAAACTAAAGAAGAAATACTAACTTCTTGGGAAGAATAACGTAGATTTTACAAACTGCTTTTCTTTTACTTTTTTTTAAAAAAAAATTCTTCAAGTTTTTTTTTTGTACGGTAGTATTCTATTTCTTTTGTGATAAATATTGATCATGTAATCTGACCACATGAATACTGCTTCCTGGATTTAGTCCTATTCCAGTATAAAGGTAACAACGTATATTGAGTTAAACATGAAGAAGTTATACATCAATGGCTCAATGTGATTGACAAATTTTTCGAAATTAAATTCAACATATTATATTATGATGTTTGTGCAAACAAATCAAAAGATATGGCAGATGCCAGACAATCTTCATTATTTTATCTTTCTGTTCTCCCTAATTTCCAAGATAGCTTAGTTGTATCCTATAAGAAGAAGAAAAAACCAACTCCAAATTAGCGACTTGAAAAGCTGGTCTCACCATCATTCTTTTGGGTGATGTCGACAATTTAGTAGCAAACACAAATAATGGTAATTATATAGAAAAAAATTTAACCTGTTTCAGTTTAAGGAAAAATCACAAAATCAAACAACGTACAAAGAACATATCACACAAAGCAGGTTACAGACAAAATAAGAAAACACTTGAAGCAATGAACTTACGGTGACGGTAAACATATGACCACAATAGATAAAAGAGATTCAAAAGTGCAAAGAAGATACAAATTAAATAGAAAATAAAAATACCGATGAATTTTAAGCAAAAAAAAAAAGATCCTAGAGGTGAATAAATTCATCTACTGGGCGCTTGATGTATGACTGTATGACTTGAAATTTTAATATCCTCTAAACGATCATATTTGAGTTCCACCACGTGTTTATATATTTGAGATAAAAACTCGTAGAATTACTTGGATGTGGGTTGTTTCAGAATTTTCTTAGAATCCTTTTGAATCTTGGCATTAAAGAGTCTGTGTTAGTTAAAAATCTTTTTCTATTTTCAGTATATTTCATACTAATATAGCCTACCTATTTTTGTAAATTACCGGGCAAAAAGGTAGAATGCACTAAGTAGCAAGGAATTAATCACTGGTATGCGAATCATTAATTATGGTATCAATTCAATAAGGTACCGGATTGTAACCGAAGACTAAACCAATTGATAGTTTACTTGGTTAATATGCTAAATATAAATGGCAAGTAAATAAGTGCCCAATAAACTTAAACTTCAAATACCAAAAATTCGAGGACTTCTTTCATACTTTAACTAACAAAAAAATAAATAAACATATTTTTAGTTGATTAGTTTACTTGGTTAACATGCTAAATATAAATGGCAAGTAAATAAGTGCTATATAAACTTAAACTTCAAATGCCAAAAATTCGAGAACTTCTTTCATTACTTTAACTAACAAAATAAATAAACAAACATAATTTTAGTTGATTCTAAGGCCTTAAAAATTATGAAAATAATTAAATGACTATTTTGTCTAATGTAAACTCTATTTTTAAAGGGTAAAAAAGGCGAACGACATTTCGCTAAAGGCTTTCGTGCTTTTAATATAATAATATAGATTATTAGGGTTCAATTACCCGAAAAGGTGCGGCATTCAAAATTCCCCTAACACTCTCATAGTCTCATACCACGACGTTTCGAACTGCAATGTTTTACTCCAGAAAGTCCATCTCTTCCAAGAGAATGAATAAACGAAGCGGATTCAATTGCAATGTCACTCCATTGTCTACATTACCTTCTTAGTAAGCAACTCTCAGTATCTAATTTCTGATAATTCGCATATGCCTCAAACTCGAGTACACGTTGATGATTCCAAATCCCTTACTGTACAATGGGGTAACTTTGCATACCGAGACGTTTCAAACTAGAACTTCACTCCCAAAAATCCAGCGCTTGGTGCTTTGTTCTATCAATCAGATGATGTCCTTGATGCTTTTTCTATCAAACCTGGTGGCAAATAGTTCAGAAGGATGTTAATGGGTTTGTAGTGGCTTTCTTTGAGGGAGCGGCTATCTCTATGTTTATCTCGCACACATGCTTGGTGATGATACCAACCTTTAATCCCTTCAGATTTTTTTTTTAAATTTCTTGGTTTATATAAATGATGACAATTGAAATTCATTAATTAACCCAAAACCAACTCACGTTTGCACCATTTGCAAAATTATTGCTTTTGTCTACTTCACTTATATTGGTTATTCTCATCTTTGTGTTACAGTCGTCGGGGCGACAAGTTGTCTGGAGCATGGGAATTCTCTTCCATCGTGTCTCTTTTCTTTTGGCTTTCACATTGTTAGTGTTGGATTTATGTTTTAAAAACAATTGTGAACACAAAACTTCTTAGAATAGCATTTACAATTGGTATTTGCAGCATTATACATTCTATAACTATATATATTGAAAGTACACTTGGTAAATAGTAATGACATAATTTTCTGTTTGTATGCATTTCTGTGTTCAACCGAGATTGAAAATGTGTATGGTCAGTCAATATTGCAAAATTTAACACCTGTGTGCTTCTCTGTTCATTGTTTTCAATTATATTGGAGAGGTTAAGAACTTGAATCTTGATATTTGCACGTTATTTGCTCTATATGTGCCATAGTGACCAATTGTCAGTGTTGATCAGTTTATTGTGTGTCATTGCTTCATCCTGATGACTCATCTGTGCAATGGATATTGGACAATTAAAATGGTTGTACTTGCAATTTTAAATTGGTTTCTGTCTCCGTCCAAATAATAGGGAAGAAAGCATGTTTAGAAAAAGAGTTAATACCCTAAAATCCCCTAAACTATCAAGTTTTTGTTAGTTTCGTACTTAAACTATTCGATGTCTCCAAAACTCTCCTGAACTATATTGTACTTCATACTAAAAATCCCTTATTGCATCCTTAGAGGTGCGTCTAGTACACGCTCCTAATTGTCTAAAAAAAAGTGATATGTAGCACTACACATGGGTATTTAACTCAGATTAAAACCCGCCTAAACTATTATTTTTTTTGTCAGTTACCTACTTAAATTATCTGTTGTCCCCAAAATCCCCCCTGAACTATATTCCCCTATATATTAAAACCCTATGTTGGACTTTTAAACGTACGTCTGTCTAACTATATTAACTTAAGGTTTTGTATAAAGTTCTTATATAGTTACTCATGATGTATTACTCTCGAATAATTGATTAATTCTAAGAGTTTTGACCAAATTAATATCTAATGTACTGTGTTAATTTTAAGTTTAATTATGATTGTGCTTTATGCTAGACTCCAATTAATAAGTTCTTATTTATATTCACTTTGTACCGCAGTTAAAATATAAATAAAGACATACAGTGTTGTTTTTCTTAAAAGTCATGTTATATTACATAAAAAGATTACACAAAATAAAATTTCAAATAAAAAATCAATTGCCCAACAATTACATTCTCTAATTCGATATTACATAACGAAGGTTTAAGATATTCAATTTTATTCTTTACAAGGTGTTGAGTTTAATAAGAAGATTTAAATTGGTATTCTTTCAGCAATATGTGTAAAACATGAAAGAAGACTAAAACAAGAAAAAGAATAAATAATTTTAGAGGAAACAAAAGAGGGAGAAATTTTTCCAGAGAAAACTCATATGGAGAACTGAAGAAAAAAGGTTAAAAATGAAGAAGAAAGTGAAAAACAAAGAAGAAAGGTGAAAAATAAGGAATGGTGAAAAATGAGGAAGAAAGATGGATATAACTGAAATAAGGAGAATATTTATTAAAAAAATAAATTTGATAGAGGGTAATGCTAATTAACCATTATTTTCTGTTATGTGGGCCATTTTGATGGCTTTTTTTAGCTACTATGCGCTTTCAAGCGAGTATCTACACATGTTATGCCAGGTCAGTGACGGGTGGGTTTTGATACGAGCGGCAATATAGTTCAGGGGGTATTGGGGGCACCGAATAGTTTAAGTAGGAAACTGATCAAAATTTGATGATTTAAAGAGCTTTTAGGATATTAACTCCTAGAATATGGGTGAGCAACAATATTTTAATGGATGTAGTCATTCATGGGTTTGAAGTGGGTGGTGTTCCTGGAGGAAAATTGATGAATAAGATGGAACAGTTCATCACATATATCATCAAAAAGGCCATCTTTCTATTGTTTAAGATGGACTTATTATTTTCTTTTTGCAGGACACGAGGTCTATAACTTATGATTGCTAATTCCAAAATTTATTAGGAGGTTCGAGATTTTTCTGTGGCTTCCCTTAGTTGGATATTGTATATTCCTGCCTGATCCTAACTTTAATTTCTTTCTCTCAATAGCTTGCTGCAATACTTTGGAAGAACAAGGAAGATGAGAGGGCTCTCTAGCACTTCTTTTAAGTAAAGCCTATATCTAAGCACTTCAATGAAAACTTAAGCATTTCATTCGCTCTTTCTCTGTAAAAAAATCAATAGCGTTTCTTTCCCTCTCTATGTTTGTCATTCATCTTCAATTTTGCTTTAGCCAAGTATGATTACATAAATGTATATATGAAATATGTGAATTGATCAATTGTCAGATAATTCAGAGGCTTTCTCAGTTAGGTTATTAGGGATATCAGGAAAGTTTTGTTGGGGAACTTTTATTTTGGCTGAAGATTGAAGAAGGAGGTTTTGGAAAAAGTAATAGCACACAAGTTGTGGAAGAATGGTACAGGCAGATGCCGATATTCACTCATTCATATATCACTGCTTCAATTGTCACCACCATCGGTTCTCTTGAGGTATGCTCCATTTTAAGGAAAAACATTAGATTTTCAAGATTGAATCTATATATATATATATATATTGTCACGACCCCAGTTCGTCCTCCGTGAACTGTCGTGACGGCACCTAGTCTCTACGACAAGGTAAGCCTAACAAATGCGGAATATAAACGAAAATTGCGGAAGAAATAATCAGAAGCCAAAATAACCGAATGAAAACAACATTTAAATGTCGTTCTACATATACAACACAACTCCTCAGAATCTAATACACTATCCCAAAACCCGGAAACTCACGGAACCACAAGCCTTTGGATATCTAACAATATCAAACTCCAGAATATCTAACAAGGAAAAGAAATACAGAAGGGCAAATGCTTAAAAGCTAGAATAGAAAGGGACTCCTCGGTCTGCGGACACGACAGATGTACCTCGAAGTCTCTAAAGCAATCACCTCGCCTCACGGGTGGTAGGACTGAGTCGACGTACCTGGATCTGCACATATAAAACATGCGCAGAAAAGGCATGAGTACACCACAGCAGTACTCAATAAGTGCCAAGCCTAACCTCGGTCGGGTAGTGACGAGGAAGGTCAGCGCCCTACTGAGGTTAAATAAAAATATAAATTTTGATAGTATGGAGCAGGGCAGTATAATAAGTACAACAATAAATGTAACACGAATGAAAAGACAGCAACAGCTACTACAAAGGCAAAGTAAACACAGAGAGAAAATACGGCTCAGCCCAAAGAAAGCAGCTGGGGATCTCCCAGGATACCGTCCTGTAGTCCCAAATATAAATATCCAGTGGATCTCCCGGGATACCGTCCCTTAGTCCAACTCATAATGCAAGAGGATCTCCCAGAATACTGATCCGTAGTCCCAAAGATAAATACTCAGTACAGGGGAATCTACCAGGTGCAGTCCCATAGTACCAATGTAAATATGCAGGGTGATCTTCAGGAATATCGTTCCATAGTCCCAAAGTAAACATGCAGGGACAACGCAAGGAAATACTCAGATAAGCTCAATTTCATACAAAATAAAACAGGTAATTCTAGCCTAACATACTTCACGTAATGCAATTAAGGCAGTTTAAGCATATAAGCAATTAAGTCAACTAAATATGCTTTTTCAGAGCTAACAACATGCTAAATTTGCAAGTAGTATAAAACAGGAAAAATGAGCACAATTGAAATAACTTAAAGAAACCGGATTTTCAACAATTAGCTCAAGTACGCACTTGTCACCTCACGTACAAGGCATTTCAATTATCAAATATACCAAATCTTAAGGGGAAGGTCCTCCACACAAGGTTGGGCAAGCCACTTACCTCGAACCAGCTCAAGTCAATCCGAAACCACGCTCTTGCCACGAGTAATCGACTTCAAATGGCCCAAATATATTCAATTCAATTGCATAATGCAAATAACACTTCAAATAATTAATTCTACAATTAAATTCTAAGCTAATACGTGAAATTAGGTAAAATGACCAAAATGCCCCTCGGGACCACGTCTCGGAATCGGGTAAAATTTATATTTTCAGAATCCTCACACTCTCACGAGTTCATGCACACCAAAATTATCCATATCTAAGGTCAAATTCCCAATCAAAAGTCGAATTCTAGGTCTATGAACTTTCTTCTTACTTTTCCCCAATTTTCATCTCCAATCCGAAATTAAATGATGAATTCATGTTTGGATTAATGAGTTACAAGCAAAAAGGAGTTAAGAATCGTTACCCAATCGATATATGTGAAAATCCCTCAAAAGTTCGCTCAAATCTGAGCTCCCAAGCTTAAGTTTTGATAAAAATGGTCAAACCCTTGACTTTGAAATTTTATATTCTGCCTAGACGCATTCTTCTTCGCGAACATGAGACTACTATCGCGAACGCGATCCACAAAAAAAGCCTACTCGCCAACTTCCTCTTTCGCGAACGCGTAGCTTACACTGGCAGACCTTATGCGAACGCGAGGACCATGTCGCGAACGCAAAGACCAAGGGCTCCATGCCTTCGCGAACGCGGGACATCACCGCGAACGCGAAGCATGATTCAGCTGCTTCACCCAGATGCTCTACGCGAACGCGAGACCCTCTCGCGAATGCGATGAATGTTTTCTCTGCAACACAACAGCAGAAAATCTGCAATCTTTCCAAGTCCAAAAATGGTCCGTTGAGCATCCGAAACACAGCCGAGGCCCCCGGGACCTCAACCAAACCTACCAACATATCCCATAACTTCACTCAAACTTGCTTCAACCTTCGGAACGCTCAAAACAACACCCAAACACCTATTTTTCATCGGATTCAAGCCTAAGAATTCCAAAAACTCTATAAACACACTTCCGATCAAAACGTCTATAAAACCTCATCCGAATGACTTGAAATTTTGCACACACGTCACATTCTACACTACGGAGCTACTCCAACTTCCGGAATTCCATTCCGACCCTCGGATCAAAATCTCACTATCGAACCGGAAACTTCAAAAAATTCAACTTTCGATATTTCAAGCCTAAATTAGCTACGAACCTCCAAAACACAATCCGATCACGCCCCTAAGCCCGAAATCACCCAACGGAACTAACGGAACCATATATAAGAAAGTAAGGAGGCACCTCTCTTAGGCCAAGAAACATATTTATTTTTTTTCTCCTTTTTTAGGATTTTTCATCATTCTTTCAATTTATTTTATAATAAAATTAAAAAAAATTATTTTCATAACTCACAACTCTTTATCTTCATAACCTATATTTTTAATAGTCTCAATAACTCCAATCCCTTTCATATTCATAATCTCCAAAAAATTAATGTGTAAGTTTATGATAACTTATCTCATTTTTTTAACCTTCCTCTTCGTTTGTCTCATTTCCATAACTCATACTACCTTAACTTCTACTTTTAATAATATCCATTGTCACACCTCCTTTTTACACCCCGAGAGGAATACAAGGGAGTTTTTCCAATTTAAGTGACATTATTCGAAATGAGATTATTTATTTATCAGAGTAGCCACTTGGAATATTTTAATTGATGTCCCAAGTCACCGGTTTATTTTAAATCCCAAATCGAGGAAAAATCGACTTTCCTTTTGAAGTTTGCGAACCAGAAATTCTAAGTAAGGAATTATGCTAACCCGGGAGAAGGTGTTAGGCATTCCCGGATTCCGTGGTTCTAGCACGGTCGCTTAAACTATTAAAATTGGTCCATTATCCGATTTATTACATGTTTTAAACTATTGTATTTTTTTAGCTTTATAACCGCTTTTAATTATTTTAGAACGCTTTTTAGGAGGATTCAACATTATTTAAAACATGCCTTGAACCACGCCACATGAAATACACCCGCGGTCCACGACACATTCTATTTAACGTTGTTAAGAATTGGAGTTGGGTCACATGAAATGCACACCCGAATTTGGGAGTTAGATATCATGACTATGCCACGGGAACCGTACCTATAATCACGATAATGTACTATTTATTAATTGCTCCTAAAGAAAACTACAATGTCATGATTCTGTTATCCTAAAATTTGAGATTTGCATGACGATGAACAATTAAGCAAATAACTATGTAATAACCTCAAAATCAACGTCTGAGTATCCAGAATTAAAGGGCTAATTCATTCCATCATTGACCTTACAAAAAAATAAGAAAAAGACTCAATGAATGGCAGAAGTTGCTTCTTTAAAATTCAATATTAAGTAGTGTTTGTAGAAATTAGAAACAGCAAGGAAGTGCAGACCAAATACAAAAATGCAGTTCGATGAAGCTCGCGAAAAGAGCATACTAGAACGGCTCATCAATAGCATAACATCAGCCCCATATTACAATAGCTAAACTCAACTTACTATGCCATTAATCCATTTTTCATCATCCATTTAAAACTTAACAAGCTAACATTTCCCAAACCAAAGTTGCAGTAATTTAAAGTCATCAAGTACATAAGTAAACTAACCTCACACATACAGACACAAAGTGAACAAATTGAATAATATCATGATATTCAATTAATCAATTATAACAATTACATTGTCTAAACTGAGCTACATACCTCAACAGCAAGAATCAAACTTAGCAAGACCAAATAAAAGCTAAGAACAGCCGCAAATTCGGTTACGAATGAAGCGAAACAGCAGCAAACAAACAGCGATCCGATCGAGACCCATGCCGGAGCCGGAAACCTTGAACCCAACTCAAAAAAAAATCGACTGAACTTGGGTGTTCTTACACAGTTAAAATGAACCTCTGTTCGTCGGCAAACATGGTGCGATGACTACTATTTTTGGGGTGGTTTGGTGTTGCGTTTCAGCTGGTTTTTGGGTGACGTTTCAGCTGGTTTTGGAACTGTTTTTGCTGGTGGTTTGAGGTTGTTTCAAGTGTGTTTGGAGCAGCTTTAATGGCTGCGTTTTTGGATTGTTTTAGGTGACGATTTTTATGGTTTAGGGACTGTTTTTAGGCCCGGTTCTCAGCTGGTTCTGGGATCAGTTTTAATGGAGCTTGGGAGTGTTTTCATGAGTACTATGGAGCTCAGTTTGGGGCTTTTTCCTTCATCTTTTGGTTATGGTTTTTTTTTTTTGAGAAAGGAAAATGAACAAGAAGCAGGGAAGGGTGCGCCATTGTTCTCCTAAATCTAATGGGGAAGCTCTACCCTAGATTTTAGTTTAGGAAAGTGGGATTTTAAAGAGAGGGGTTGGGCCAATCCGGATGGTGGGCTGGTGGGTTTGGGGCGAAATTGGGATAAATTTGGGCCAGTTTTGGCTAAATTAGCCCGATTCCAAAATTAACAACTCCTTTCAATTTAACTCTTTTATCTTCTTTTTTTTTAATTAAAAATTCTAAATTAATCTAAAATGTGAAATTAAGCTAATTATCTAATTATAAAAATTATAAACAATAATTAATTCTAAATTAAAAGAGAAAAACCAATAAGCTAAAAATTAAAAGACAAAAATGTAAAAATGAGCTATTTTTGTGATTTTTGAATTTCTATATAACAAATAATTACTGGTTAACTCTAAAAATATAAAAATAAATCCTAAATGCAATGCATGATATTTTGGTATTTTTTTCATGATTTAAATAAAAATTAGGCATGCACAGAAATGCAAACAATTAAATAAAATTCTATAAATATTTCTAAAAATGGCAAATAATTAGGAAAAAATCTATTTTTTTGGGATTTTATAGGAATAATTCATATAGGACAAATATCACGTGCTCCCATACTTTTCATATTCATAATCGTCAAATATTTAATTTAAAAATTAAAATACCTTATGGTATTAATCTTTTTTTCCTATATAAATTCATAACTTTGTTTCATGAGACCCCTACCCAAAACTACCCTTTCTATTCTTTACCTCAAATAGTAATGTTGTCATGACCTAAGTTCCCTCTCCTTGAACTGTCGTGACGGCACCTAGTCTCTACGACTAGGTAAGCCTAACAATTTGCGAAAAAGGGAATTTAAAGGTACAACTAGCCATCTAATAGGTAAATATAGATAAAGTGTTTAAAATGTTGCTTGACACATACAATAATAGCACTGTCGACCAATAATAACACTCCCAAAATCCGAAATCTCATGAAGCACAAACTAGAGAAAATATATAATGTTCTAACTCTAAAAGTCTAAACAAAAGTAATTACAGAAGGTCTACAGGTAAAGGTTAGAATAGAGAGGGATTTCTCAGTCTGCGGACGCGACAGATATACCTCGAAGTCTCTCAAATCACCTTGCCTCACTGATAGTATGGCTGAACAGAAGAACCTGGATCTGTACACAAAAAATATGTGCAGGAAAGGGCATGAGTACACCACAGCGGTACCCAGTAAGTGTCAAGCCTAACCTCGGTTGAGTAGTGACGAGGAAGGTCAGGGCCCTACTGGTCAGTTTTATATATATATATGAAACAAGGTAAACAGTATGAAATGTGATAGTATAGTTAAAATACTAATAGTCGAACAAGAATAAAATCACAGATTGAATATAATTCAACACACAGAAATAGCGACAGGGGATTTCCCAGGATATCATCCCGTAGTCCCAAACGTAAATGTGTAGAGGATCTCCCGGGATATCGTTCCGTAGTCCAAATCATAAATATGCAGGGAAATCTCCCGGAATACCAATGTGTAATCCCAAAGTAAATAACCAGTACATGGGGATCTCCCGGGATCTCGTCTCGTAGTCCCAATTATAAACGTGCAGGGGGATCTCTCGGAATATCGATCTGTAGTCCCAAAGTAAACATGCAGGAGGATCTCTCGGAATACCGATCTGTAGTCCCAAAATAAATACACAACAGTCTTAAGAAGGAAATCTATAGTTCTATTCGAGAACAAACATGAATTTCTACTCTAAACATGCTGCACAGAATCTAAGTAAACAGTTAAAATAGGTAAGACAATTAGGCCACATAAGCATATTTTTTCTAAGCTAAACAGGAGGTTTCAAGTACAAGTATTGCTTAATTAAAAGAAAACACATATATTTACTTAATGAAAATGAGGTTTTTCAACAATTAGCATGTGTACTCACTCATCACCTCACGTACACGGCATTCATATAACAACAGTACCAGAATCCTAAGGGGAGTTCCCCCCCACAAGGTTAGGCAAGCCACTTACCTCGAACCGGCTCAAAATAATCCAAAATCACGCTCTTGCCACGAGCATCCAACTCCGAGTGCCCCAAATCTAATCAAATCAATTTCATAATGTAAATATAACAACAAATAACAAATTTAGCTAAAGGGATTGAAGCTAAGGTAAAAAAAAATAGAAAAACACCCAAAAATTCTTCTCGGGCCCACGTCTCGGAATCGGGTAAAATTTATCAATTTAGAACACTCGTTCACTCACAAGATCACTTGTCCAAAATTTATTCAATTCCGACACCTAAAACCCGATCAAAACCCAAAAACTCGATTGGGGAACTTTTCTCCCAAATCCCCATTTTCCCACTCAAATTCCTTGATTAGATTGAGAAAATTACTATAGGTTGATGAAATATAAATGAAATAGGGTTAGGAATCATTACCCATTCATTTCCTCTTCAAAGTCCTCACAAAATCACCTTCTCCCGAGCTAAAAATCAAATTTGGTATTATGAACTTCAAACCCTCGAAATTTCTTTTCTCTGCCCAGCGATGCCCGCATATGCACTACCAGGACTGCACCTGTGGTCCTGCTTTTGTGACCAGGGCTCCGTATTTGTGGATTTTCATTAAATCCCCAAGCACCGCACCTACGCTCAAATCTTTGCAGATGCGATTCCGCTTCTGCGATTCTTGTGTTGCATCTGCGACCACTGGTCTTCATTCCCTAGACCACACCTGTGACCTCCTTCCTCGTTTCTGCGGGGCCTTACCTGCGGGCTTCTCACCGTATGTGTGAAAATATCAGAAGCAACCAACTTCAGAATTTGTCTAAGTCCAAATTCACTTTCGTTAAGCATCTGAAACTCACCTGAGGCCCCCCGGGTCCTCAACCAAACATACCAACCAATCCTAAAATATCGTACAAACTCAGACGAACCCTCGAATCACATCAAACAACGCAAAAACCACGAATTACCCTCCAATCTAAGCCTAATGAACTTGAAATCTCAAGAATTCTGCAACCGATGCCAAAACAAACCAAACCATGTCCGATTGACCACAAATTTTGCACACAAGTCACATTCAATACTACGGAGCTATTCCAACTTTCAGAATCGGATTCCGACCCCGATATCAAAATCTCACTATTGATCCAGAAACTTTAAAAATTCATTTTTCGGCATTTCAAGCTTAAATAAGCTACGGAACTCCAAAATACAATCCGAACACGCCCCTAAGCCCGAAATCACCCAACGAAGCTAACGGAATTGACGAAATCCCATTCTGAGGCCATCTTCATATCGCTCCGGCTACGGTCCAAATTCTAAAGTTTAAGCTCTCATTTAGGGACAAAATATCCCAAAACACTCTGAAACTCAAAACGAATTTTTCCGACAACTCACCGCAGCAGAAACAAACACTGGAAAGGCAGTTAATAGGAGATCTGGGCGTTAATTCTTAAAATGACCTGCCGGGTCGTTACAAATGTTGTCATATTTACTGTAACATTCGATTCATGGTTTAGTTTGGCTTGAGGAAGAAGGCTCTTGAATAATTATCGATATTGCGGGAGGGGGTGTAAACAAGAACACGAAAAATTATACGCTGATTTTGCATTTCTATTTCCTTCTATTTTCTTAAGATTAAGGTCTCAAGTAGTATCTTTTTCTTCTCTATTTACTTTCTCATATGTTCTCTTTCGCTTTATTTTCTATGAACTTTTGTTTGTCGCAAGTTTGTATTTTCGTTTAGACTCAAATTAATGACTTATGAGTTAAACTTTGTTTGATGTCTGCTACTACTAACCAGTAACATCTCGTTGTGTAAAAGGGATAAATTTTAAACGTTCAAATACACCCTTCATTGGATATTTTGACAACACTTATTATTACTTTTAGCGAGTAAAAAGTGTTAAGAGCTAAAAGTCACAGAGCAGGCGCAGGTTCTTCTTTAGTGAGCCATCGGCATGTGTTGTTTCTTGTAAAATAAAAATTATTTTTCACTTTATTTCTACTTGTGAATTTTATAAAGTAAGTAGTTATTTTATTTGTATGATTGGAACATGTATTATATGTATGACAAAATTTAAATTATTTAGTTTACTTTATAACTTTTGATTCTTTTGAAGTATTGTGATAATTATCTTTCTTTTGAAAGTTATGTTTTGATTTCTTCTTTGAATTGCCTATTATTTGTAAAACAAAAAAAAAGCTTTTTTATTTTGATGAGAGGATACAAATAATTGAGCAAGTATTCTGAAGTGAAGTACTCTGTTCTCTTTGGAATGGAGAATATGAGAGGGAAACTATTGAATAGAAAAGAAAAGACAGAGATGAAGGCTAAAAATGGGATAACAAGAAGGAATAGAAAAAAGAATATGCTGCAATTTCCACATATTTCTTTTGTTTTATTTTATTTTATTTTCGTTATTAGTTTCTTTACTTTTATTTTATATTTCTGCTATTTGAATATGAGAAATTTTTGCAAAGTCGATGTTTTACTATTTAATGAAAAAATAATCTATTTGCATGCCTCTAACATATAATTGTACTTAAAAAGTCATGTATCAACCTCTCACTTTCTCCTCATTTATTATATGTAAGTGAAATTTTTTTCTTAAAAATTCTTTTTCTTAAAAATTCTTTTTCTTTTAAAAAGAAAATCAGGAAAAAATGCAATAACCTAAAATCTAATTCTAATTAAAATGCTAAGTATATGATTTATCAATATGTAGAATTATCTTTTTTATCCATATTAATTTTAAAAATTATCTCTGTTATCCGTTATATGTCGTTATTTTTCTTTTCTTTTTTTAATTTAGTGATATTTCTTATAACCGCGCGAAGCGCGAAAAATTTTAGTAGTCTTTATATAAAGTAGAGACAATAAGTGCTGACATGACACCTCTCTTTGCTTAGGAATCATATTTATCCTTTTTATCATTTTTTTTCTTATTTTCCACAAATAAAAAACTGAAAAGCTGCTTCTTATAATCCTGTTCACACTACTGACTCGCTCCATACAAATCTTAAACAATCAATCTCCATGGGCCGGGTGTCGAGAACTGCACAATTTCCTTCTCTATCAACTATCAAATAGCTCTATCAGGCAAGTATCCAATTCACTTATTCTTCTCGCGCTTTTTGTTTTTGTTGGGTTGATTCATGCGTTTCTTTCTTTCAACGCTAATAATTCAATTTTATATTAGCATTGTCTCTGAAATAATGAATTTCAAACCATTTTAGAACTGCTAAATTGATTTTTTATACTAATATTGAGTGAGGACTGAGGATGAATGTGTAGTACTATGATGTCTTAAATCTAAAGATTCTTAAGGTTTCTTCACTTAGTTATACTCTGATAAATTCTTGTGTTGGTTTTATGAAAATCGAAAATCTAAATGTTAAACAAATTGTTCGAACCAAAACCTTCAATCCCTGATTCCTTTTAGGACTTTATTCGCCAGACTTTGAGAACGTCATCAAAGCATCGATAACTATTGTAGTATTAGTTTTATCGCCTTCTCTTGGGGGTCTCTTGCTTATACTTATTGTATGAGAAAGACTACTGAGGTTGAGAAAAATATATTATCCATCAGTGAGGCTAAGGTCCCGTAAAGTTATTATTGCAAGTTGCCAAATATTATTGGCTTGAATTTTATTTGAACTTGCTCTTTTTTACTTCCTAAATTATTGAGTCTGAATTGAGTCGGTTGACCTATAATTTTTCAAATTCTTACATTCTGGTTTCAAAAAGAATACTAGACAGACCGAGTTGTGATTTTCTGTGAAAATTCTTTCTCTTTTCTTTTAATTTTAGTCTTGGCAGAAGTTGTTACTTTTTGCTCTTTATTGTGGAGGCACTATAATAGTTCTGGTCTGATCCTGATATAGGTTGTATGTTTCAGTTAGGTCTGCTCGTGGTTTATTTGATCGAAGTTGTGGTTGTTGTTGCAGTTACATGGAGGAATGTGTTAGAGCGCAAAGCACCTGAAATCACTCTTGCCAAAATAGCGCAAAAGGAACATACTATTCGGAATAGGACCATGAGAAATTTGAGTTGGTGAGTTTTTCAGTTGAAGATAGAAGCAGAAGATGAGCGAGAGTTTGTTTTAAGATTTTCATTTGTTATCACGGTGGTTCTTTTGATGGATAGAAGAAGCAGTCTGATCTGAATACAATCCAAAGGTAAGTATCCGTTAACCTTACATGGTCATATCATGAATGGAGTGTCATATGCTCTATTGCGTTTCATGGGGCAACTATGTTGAGCGGATGATATTTTTTGAGTTTAACATTATTTTAGCAGCATGATGCTCACAGTTACTTTATAAATTGTTCATATTATAAATGGTTATGTTCAAGTTGCTGGATTCTTATGACATGTCAAATGAATCTGTATCTTGTAGTTTAATTTTCTGCTTTCATTTGCTTATCTAATGGGGATAGGGCATTGTTTTGGATAGCGTGCGGCGACAAATAGACGAGGGCCCGCTTCACTGAGGCGAGAGGCCCGCAACGAAGCGCTCGCCTTTTTGATGTGAAGCGACAATTTATACAAAAATATAAAATATTATATACATATAACTAAAAATTCAATAACAATAATATATTAATAAATATATTATTCTAAAATTAAAGACTCAATAGATAGTCATAGACTCATAATAGATTCATAAATTAAAGTGTAATAGTCTAAACTCTAAAACAAGCAACATCTATTCTTCTTCAAGATTTTCAAATTCTACAACTTCATGAATGTTAGCATTATATTGGTTGTTATCTTCTTCATCCTCGGACTCTTCATCAATTAGGGAGGACCGGCTTGAACTTGCTACTTCCTTTCCCTTGTAACTTGAAGAACTCCCTCTAAGACCATAGATATTCTCCTCAACTCCAACCGCTATAGAAACAGTACTTCAATCAAGATCATCTCCTTCATACACTTGTTCATCTTCATGATTTTGGGGGGCTCCTATTAACCGTTCATTTGCCTTGTCAATATTGTCCAACAAAATTGGATTAATGGTATCGCGACCTTCATAACGTCGCCTCAATGTTCTATTGTATTTAATATACACTAGATCATTGAAACGCGATAGCTCAAGCCTATTCCTTTTCTTGGAGTGAATTTGCGAATAAATTATTTAGATTAATTAATAGATACTAACAATAATACAATATAGAATATATTAATATAATAAATCTACTTCTTACATACTCAAATACGCTCCAATTTCTCTCGCATCTAGATGCACTGCAAGTTAGGCTTAGTACTTTGATGGCAAACTTTTGCAAGTTTGGAGTTTGATGTTCAAATTGCTTCCACCATTCAACTATAGAAAAATATTTTAAAAGTTAATAAGTATAAATCAAATAAATTAAATTAAACTTATAAGGATATCTATATTAAAGTTAGTTACCTGGCGACCTTATGTCTTTGGCTCTAATAGCAGCCGGTAAACCAAATAGTCCCTCTGCTTGTGAGTACCTACCAAACTCCTCCCCTATTTGATCTATCGTCGCTGAATTGGTACCAACTTCTTAAGACATGCATGGTATCCAATCCACACCTCTGAAGCCAAAGTTTCATCTCTGGTATTCTTGTAAAATTATCCCGGGTTCAGAAGATGGCCTGCTATATGCAAAGGTCGATGGAGTTGATTGTCCGACCTGGTATCAATTATCTCAAAAACTTTCTCATATTTCCTAACATCTCCCTCAAATGACGCTGCAATACTCTCTTTGGCTCTATCCATAGCTTCATAAAGATAGCCCATTGGTGGTTTTCTCTCCCCATCCACCATACGAAACACCCTAATCAAAGGACCACCAACTTTAAGAGCCCGAAGGATGTCATTCCAAAATGATGGAGAAATAAGAACTTTGGCAGTTTCTTTCCCTGCAGCTTCCTTTGCATATTTATTATCTTTCCATTCATTCGAAAAAACTAGCTTTCTCAAATTTTTCTTTTTCAAGTAAAAACTCCGCAAAGTTAAGAAAGCCGTTGCAAATCTAGTCTTCACCGGTCTCACCAAATTTCTTTCATTTGTAAATTTTCTCATCAAATTCAACAACAACGACCTCTGACTAATGTAAGAATATACCTTGACGGCCTTAGTGAAAACTGTAAAAGTAACAATAAAATTTTTATAGTTAATACTTAAAAGGATAAGACATAAGTATAAATAAAGTTAAAGGCTTTAAAATAACTATATTAAAGTTACCTAAGGCATATGAGTTTTCCTTGAATATGTCACCAAACATCAAGTTGATACAATGGGCAGCACATGGAGTCCAATAAATGTTTGGATACATAGCTTCCATCATCTCCCCCGCACTAACATTTTCACTAGCATTATTTGTAACAACTTGTACAACATTTTTCTTTCCAATTTTATCAATAGTCTTTCTAAATGAGCTGTACATTTTGCTTCCATCCGTAGAAGAGTTGCTAGCATCGTGAGATTCAAGAAAACACTCCCTCTTGGAGAGTTCACCTACACATTTATGATCATTTTTCCATTCTGTGTTGTCCATTTATCCATCATAATGGAACATCCAAACTTGTTCCATTCCACTTTATGATCCTCAATAATTTGGTCTATCTTCTTCACCTCCTTTTTAAGATGAGTTACTCTAACTTCATGATAGCTAGGAAGCTTCATTCCTGGTCCATATTCTTATGACCCAAAACTCATCCCGTCGTGATGACACCTATCGTGGAACTAGGCCAGCCTCAACTCAACGCAACCCAAGACCTCAATACTAAAACTAAATCATTTGCGGAAAAACTTTTATCATTTTAAATAAATTGTTTAAGACGTAGAATAAAGATCATATTACGATACAACCATCCCAAAACCAGGGTGTCACAAAGTACATGAGCGTCTGGGGTGAATTCATAGTCTATGAAGGTGTCTAAAGAGGCAACTGTAATACAACTGGAAAATGAGAAGGAGAGCCAAGGCATGCGAACGCCATGCAGGTACCTCAACAAACTCCACACCTTGAAACCTCAATCAACGATTGCCACTGGGGCCAAAAGTACCTAGATCTGCAAACACGGTGCAGGGGGTAACGTGAGTACACCAACTCAGTAAGTAACAAGTCCAACCTTTAAACTGATAGGTAGTGACGAACTCAACCTCCTCAAGGATAACAGAAATAATGTACAGAAACGTAGGCATGCTTTCAGTTAAATAAACAACTCGAACAGTAAAACAGAGCAAGTATGAACAAGGTAAAGAAGTGTCACTCTGCTACATCTACATGTCGATGCACATGCTATATGAAATGTACCATGCTGAGTGCCTCATGTGCCCACAGTCTCAATTACTCATCCACTCAGTACTGTATATGACTCATACGGCCCAGGGAAGATCTATCCCGGAATATATACATCTCTGACAACAGTCACTCAGTACTGAGGAAGGCTAATCTATCCTATGGAGAAGATCCATCTCCAGATAATAATAATAATAATAACAACCTCACAACCACTCGGTACTGTATATGACTCATAAGGCCCAGGGAAGATCCATCCCGGAATATATACACATCACTGACCATTTCTCCAGTATCGAGGAACAGGCCAATCCAGCCTCATGGAGAAGATACATCTCCATACCAAGGGAAGATCCATCCTTGAATATAATCAACTGCGCTCACTGGGGGTGTATAGACTCCGGAGGGGCTCCTTTCAGCCCAAGCGCTATAGCAAGCCAGCGAAGGCATAATCAATAATCTACTACGGCGTGCAACCCGATCCCATAACTATCACTTATAATCAGGCTCTTGGCCTCACTTAGTCACCACTCTCCTGTTTCTCCCACGGGCTCACAATGCCAAGAAAAACTAGCCCGGAACAATGATATGATGTGCAAATGAATAACAGCTAAGACTAGAATGTGATATGATATGCATAAAAAAGGCTGAGTACAGAATATCAATGAAACTAATGAGATGACAACAAGAAACGACCACTCGGGTCTCAACAGTATTGGCATGAGGCCCTAACATGATATTTAGCATGATTTATAGTTCATTTCCCTAATCATATAATCACTGACACATATATCAATAAGAAAGAGTCACTAAGCGGTGCCATGGAATGATCCAAGCCGCAATTCTTACGGTGCACGCCCACTCGCCCCTCACCCGGCACTTGCATCACCTCAATACAAATTATATAGCACAATGTTCGGGGTTTCGAACCCTTAAAACCAAGTTTGGAAGCGTTACTTACCTCAAACCAAGCCAAAACTCTAACTCGTGATGCCCTTGCCTCTCGATTCGGTCTCCAAATGTGCCAAAACTAACCAAAATCAGTATATTATCATCAATACACGCTAAAGGAGTGAAACCCATATGAAAATTATCAAATTAGATCAAAATTCCAGAATTTTCTCAAACCCGGCCCCCGGTCCCACATCTCGGAATCCGATAAAAATCACAAAACTAGAAAGTCCATTCACTCACGAGTCTACCCATATCAAATTCACCAAAATCCAATGTCAAATGGCCATCCAAATCCCTAAATTAACTCTCCAATTCACCTCCACTTTTCCCCCAAATTTTCACCCGAAATTCCCAATTTAGATGTTTAAAATCAAGACACAATCGGAATTTAATCAAAATTAAGTGAAGAACACTTAGCGCAATCATTTCTCTGAATACCCCTTCAAAAAAATCAACTTCTACCGAGCTCCCACTTTCATTTTATGTTATGAATTCGGAACCCTCGTTTGAATCTTTTAAATTTTCCCAGATACATATCCATCGCAATCGCGGAAGTACCACCGCGATCGCGAAGAGGAAGAAAAAAATGCCTCTTAAGGACCCTAAGTGATTGCATAATACCCTTTGCGATCACGTTAAGCACCACCGACTGAACTACGCGTTCGCAGAACTGACCTCATGAACGCAAGAGATAACCATGCTGCCTCAGCTCAGACCCAACACTACGTGATCACATGCTCACCAATGCGAACACGATTCTTCATCTGCCACACCCTATGCGAACATAGACCCATGTTCGCAAATGCGAAGAAGAAATAAGAAGCCTCAGACCTTTCCCTTACGTGACCGCGTCCTTCTCTCCACGATCCCGAAGAAGGACCTTCTGCAACAGAAATACCAGCAAAATTGCCAACTTTTCTAGTCGAAATATGTTCTGTTGATCATCCGAAATACACCCGAGGTCCTCGGGACCTCAACCAAATATGCCAATACATCCCATAACATCATTCAAGCTTAGTCGAGCCTTCGAATCACTCAAAACAACACCAAAACATTTAATCAACCTCAGATTCAAGCCTAAGAACTTACAATTTCTCAAATTCCACAAACGACGCCGAAACCTATCAAATCACCTCCGAATGATATGAAATTTTGCACACACATCACAAATGACTATGAACCTACTCCAACTTCCAAAATTCTATTTCGACCCCGATATAAAAATTTCCACTGCCGACTGAGAAACACCTAATTTCTAATTTCACCAATTCAAACCTAATTCTACCACAGACCTCCAAATCACATTCCAGACACGCCCCTAAGTCCAAAATCACCTAACGGAGTTAACCAAATCATAAAAACTTAAATCCGAGATCGAATACTAAAAAGTCAAAACTTGGTCAAACCTTTCAAATTTAGAGCTTCAAGCTGAGAATGTTTCTTCCATGTCTGTTCTGATTAACCTGAAAACCAAAATCGATGATTTACATAAGTCATAATATATCATACGGGGTTAGACATGCCCGAGAACTGGCGAGGAAAGTGCAAATGCTCAAAACGACCGGTCGGGTCGTTACACGTATTGTCCTATGACCTCAATAAATTTATCAAAAGTTTTGTAGTTGACACAGTTGAAAGGAAGTCGTGCATCGTACATCCATGCTGCAAAGGCACTTACGGCGCGATCCTTCAAAATCTTCTTGGCTTCTAAACCTGAACCTTCTTCACCTTTTCCCTTTTCTTGTTGTTTTGCCGAGAAATAAAGATTGAGAGGACCTTTTGTCACTATACGTGCCGTGGATGGTGCACTAGAACCAGAATATATCTTATGAGTTTTAGGGGGGAGGTCCCATTTCACCTTCTTCATCCATTTCATTATCTTCATCAATTAGATTCATCGATGCTTCAAAATTCATTTGAGTTCTTGCCATATTTTTCTTTTCAACAAATGCTTTTACTTCCTCCCTAATCTCGGGCGGACAAAGGGGACATTGTATTACATTTTTAAATTCACCTATCAAATGTTGCTTGTGACGAGTTATCCCACCATGATATATTTTTTCACAAAACACATATTTAATTGCGGATCTTGATAAGTCTTGTATAGCTTAATTCCAAGCTATATCATTTCGTTTAGTACTATCGGATGACGCTATTTCAACGTTTTTTTATAGAAACAAATTATCAAGTCAATATGCAATTAATTCTACTCTATAAGACTATAAGTTAATAATTGAAAAAAAGGTAAACAAAAATAACTAAGTTTTTTTAAGTGAAGCAGCAGTGAGCAGCCTCTGTTATTTTGCCAAAATAGGGCCTCGAAACAACCTCTATATTTTGCCAAAACAGAGAAAAAAATTAAGAGAAGAAGAAAGAGGAAGTGAAGAACCTCTGTATTTTGCTCGAATATTAGAGCATAAAAACAGACCTCTGTTTCTGCTCTTTTTGTCAAAAAATAGAGGAAAAAAGAAAAAGGTAGAAGAAGAAAAAGAGAATAAGAAGGAGAAAGAAAAATGGAGAAAGAAGAAAGAAGAAAGAAGAAGAAGCATACCTGGTCTTTCAAGAAGAAGAAACCGTGTTGAAGCTTGAAGAAGATGAAGCCAACGATGAAGAAGAAGAAACAATGTTGTTTTGTTCGCAGGTGAAAAGCCCTAATCGCTGAAACCTCTATTTTTTTGTTTGCAAGTGAAAAGCTCGAAGACCAAATGTCAAACCCTAATTCCCGACTTAAGCTTCTCCCTTTCTCTTTTTTTTTAAAAAATAGCGACGTTACAGTCGTTTCTCACAACAATGTTGCCTCGCGCAACATAGAGAGAGGCAACCCCTATTTTGAATCGTAACACAACAGGTACTCTGAAGCGACACACCCTCGCCTCGCGTCGCTGCACGCTTTTAGCGCTGTAGCGAGTGCTATTTATAACACTGGGATAGGGAGATGTTATACTTTTCATTGTAAGTTATTTTTCAAACTACATTCTTTAGGCACCTCCCTGTTGCAACTTTAGAGATGAAGCTGTTAATGATAATAAAAGCATGATTGGAAAAACTATAGATCATCATGGAAGACATGTTAGAAATAGATGCACATTCAATTTCAAGACATTGATAATAGCCGCTTGGTAGATCATTTGCCCTTTGGCATAGGATCTTCATCAAATATTTTATCTACTGGACCTTATAGTTCTTCCTACCTATCGATAATTCAATGCAGATACTTTAGTTTCAGAGTTCAAAATATTAACATGAGTTTGATACAATGAAGATCGCTATGAGACTCGGTATTTGAATTGTTGGTAATT